CACAGCTTCAACAATAGGTCCGGTGAACCAGCTGCACAAAGACGTTCTGGGACCCGGCGCATCCACCAGCACTCCCCACGCACCGTCCACACACTCCACCAGCACTCCCCACGCACCGTCCACACACTCCACCAGCACTCCCCACGCACCGTCCACACACTCCACACACACGGCACACGTACTCCGCATTCCCCACGCCTTCCCCACTCCCCACACCCCACACATACTCCACACTCCCCACGCCCTCCCCACGCCTTCCACACATACTCCACACACTCCACACACACAGCACACGTACTCCGCATTCCCCACGCCTTCCCCACTCCCCACACCCCACACGTACTCCACACTCCCCACGCACTCCCCACGCCTTCCACACGTACTCCACACACTCCACACGCGGCAAACGTACTCCTTATTCCCCACGCCTTCCACACTCTCCCCACACCCCACACGTACTCCACACACTCCACACACACTCCACACTCCCCACGCACTCCACACTCCACAGGGTCGGCCCCCACAGCCACACAGATGCCCTGACCCAGGCCACAGTCCCAGGACAGCTCAGAAAGCCTCGGTCCCTCAGCCAGTCACTCACCGTGTGGTGCGGCGTGAGCTGGAAGAGGTTGGGGGAGAGAATGGCAGGCGCAAAGAACCTCAGGAAGATGAAGCTGCTCACTGCGGTGTACCTGACGTCCGGGTCACCTGCGGGAGACAGAGGCGGGGTGGCCCTTTCCCTCTGGCACAGTGGCCCCCGAGGGTCCGCAGGGAAGTCCTGCCACAGTCCTGGATCTCTCTCCACCTGTGTCTCTCTCCCTCTGTCTCTCTCTCTCCATCTCTCTCTCTCTCTCTCTGCATCTCTCTCTCTGTCTCTTTTTCTCTGTCTCTCTCTCCCTCTCTGTCTTTTTCTCTCTTTCTCTCTCTCTCTCTCTCCCTCTCTCTCCATCTCTCTTTCTCTATCTCTCCCTGTCTTTCTCTGTCTCTGTCTCTCTCTCTGTCTCTGTCCGTCTCTCATCATCACCATACAGCGCAGCACCTTTGGTGCCTGTCACAGACTCATTCCACGGTGGTCTGTGCTCATCTGGGTGAGAGGATGTGTTTTATCTCTTCACTTCCACCTTGTTCAAAGTGGGTCTGGGGCTGGGAAGTGCTTGGGAACTGCCTCCCTGAGACCCCTGGGCCCCTGGGCCAGGGCTGTCTGATGTCCTGAGAAACAGGGGTGGGGACAGCGTTTGACTTCTGGGGACACAGAAGCGTGGATGGCTCTGCAGGGCCATGGCCACCCTGGGGGTGTCTGCAGCTGTCCTGAAGCCACAGGACATGCAAGGAAGGGAGAAGCCGGGCAGCAGGGCCCTCGCTGAGCCTCTCAGCAGCCCCAGAGCCTGAGTCCCGGCGGGGCCTTGAGCATCGCAGGAGACGGGCGGGTGCAGGCGCCTCCTCGAGGGTCAGCAAGGTTGAGAAGTTTGGGGGCCAGATGCCCAGGTCCCTGGGAGATCTCTAGCTTGGGGGTTTGAAAAAGGGGCAGCTCCCCCAGGGGTCCTGTCTCCTCGAAGACACGGGCCGGCAGAGCCCCCAACACCACTCTGGGCCCTGCCCCAACAAAAAGAAACCACTGGGAAAACCCAGGGGGCCACATTAGGAAAATTCACCTGACAAAGCCCGGCCGGCCTTCCCGGCCCCCCGAGAGACCACTGCGGTCATGAACTCCAGGGCTGGGGACCCCCAAGACCACTGTAGTCATGAACTCCAGGGATGGGGGCCCCCCGAGAGACCACAGAGGTCGGGAACTCCAGGGCTGGGGGCCCCCCGAGACCACTGCGGTTGGGAACTCCAGGGCTGGGGCCCCCCGAGAGACCACTGCGGTCATGAACTCCAGGGCTGGGGGCCCCCCAAGACCACTGTGGTTGGGAACTCCAGGCCTGGGGGCCCCCCCGAGACCACTGCGGTCATGAACTCCAGGGCTGGGGGCCCCCCAAGACCACAGAGGTCGGGAACTCCAGGGCTGGGGGCCGCCGAGAGACCACTGCAGTCATGAACTCCAGGGATGGGGGCCCCCCGAGACCACTGTGGTTGGGAACTCCAGGGCTGGGGCCCCCCGAGACCACTGCAGTCATGAAGTCCAGGGCTGGGGGCCCCCGAGACCACTGCGGTCATGAAGTCCAGGGCTGGGGGCCCACGGAGACCACTGCGGTCATGAACTTCAGGGCTGGGGTCCCCCGAGACCACTGCGGTCGGGAACTCCAGGGCTGGGGCCCCCCGAGACCACTGCGGTCGGGAACTCCAGGGCTGGGGACCCCGGAGACCACTGCGGTTGTGAAACTGGGGAACACTGGCCCAGGCACAAAACCCTGGAAAAATCCAGCCTCTGAACTGGGGCTCCTGCCCTCACAATTCTAGTCCAGCGAGGGCTGCCGGGGGTTCTGCCTGGGTGGGAGTCACCCTGCACGGGGCTGTGGCCATTTCTCAGCAACACGAGGGTGTCCGGGGCACTCACCCTGGAAGCGCTTGGCCGCCGCCTCCCGGAGTGAGAAGAATATGTCGCACATGACGGTCGGGCAGCTCACCCCGGACTCGGTGATGGCATGGAAGACGCGGTCCACGTACTGCCGTAGGTTCTCCTGCAACGGGATACGGCACTGGGACCCACTGCCGAGGCTGCCCGCAGGCGCGTGTAGCACCAGGACACACCCAGGGAGGGGCACGTGGGGAGGGGCTGAGGGCGGGCGCAGGGCAGCCACAGAAGCAAGACACGTGTGAACAGCCACCCCCTGGAAATCTGTGCTGGGAGCTGTGGCGATTCACGTGTGAAAATCACTATACCCTGTTCGGGGTGCCACGTCCGCTCCCCGGCTCTGCCCCGACCTTGTTTACTGAGTGGGGAACGGACACTCACTAGAACGTGCCTGCCCGAGGCAAGAGCTCTGTCCGGTCATTTACACACAGAGATGACCAAACAGCACGGTCTGCAACACATATCATGTGAAGTGACTAAAATGTTGGGGCAAGTTCAACATCAGGGAGTTTTGTTGTTTTAAAACGCGGGACACAGGTCTGGGGACAGCCTGGGGAAGCGGGGAGGCCATCCTGTCCCAGGAAAAGGCGGGGGCAGGAGCCATCGCCCCAGGGGAGGCAGAGCTGGGTGTGCAGGGCAGACCCTCCAGGGGAGGCAGAGCTGGGTGTGCAGACCAGATCCCCAAGGGGAGGCAGAGCTGGGTGTGCAGACCAGATCCCCAAGGGGAGGCAGAGCTGGCCGGGACACCCCAGGGGAAGCAGAGCTGGGCACACAGGCCAGGCCAAAGGCGGTGGCTAAGGCCTCCCAGCAGTGCAGCCAGCATACTGTAGCCAGGCGAGGCAGGTATCCCTACGCCCGGTCCTGCGCCCACCCCAACCGGGGTCATGGGGTGAGTCAGAGCTTCCAGGCAGCCACCGGCTGAAAGACCCCAAGCAGGTGACTGGCCCTGGTTGCATTCATGAACAAAACCTACCATGTTGTTTTCAAGGTTTTCTCCATCTTTCAGCTTCACAGGGTCTATTTCACAGGGTTTGTGGCTCTGGCATATCTGGGGAGAGGTTTAAGACGGGGCTCTGTGAGTGGGTTCCGGGGGCACAGGCAGGGAGGGAGGAGGGGGGCTCAGGCCTGGCTGAGATGCAGATCCTGAGCCTCATCCAGAAAATGCCACAACAGCTCCCCGAACACGGCCACTGGCATGGAGGGGCACAGAGGGGCACAGTGAGGCACAGAGGGGCACAGTGAGGCATGGAGGGACGCGGAGGGGCACGGAGGGGCATGGTGAGGCACACAGGGGCGCGGTGAGGCACGGAGGGGCATAGTGATGCTGGACTGCAGGTCCACTGTGGGGTGGTGTCGCCCCGAGCCTTGGCTGAAAGGGGGCCACTCTGGGCCCGTGTCACAGGCTGCCGAGGGACAAGTGAGAGGTCAGGTGCAAACGCCAGGCACGGGGCCCAGTCCATGGCCACAATCAGATGAGCCGGGCTTTCTCTGAGAGGGATGTGCGGCCGTGATCAGACGAGCCGGGCTTTCTCGGGGAGCGATGTGCTGATGTGCACCAGCCACACAGACCAGGCCTCGCAGGCCTTTAATAATATTTTCACTTCAAAATGCTGCTGTGATTTTGCCACAGAGCAAACCGGAATGCTGTGTTAAATGTTCTCATGTTTGCAAAGAGCCTGTTTACAAAGCTGCTCATAAACAGGGGGCACAACCTGGTGGCATCAGAGGGTGGGGTGAGGACTGCACGTGCGGGCATCAGAGGGTGGGGTGAGGACTCGGCGTGCGGGCATCAGAGGGTGGGGTGAGGACTTGGCGTGCCGGCATCAGACGGTCGAGTGAGGACTGGGTGTGCAGCTCAAACGTGCCATGCTGCCAGGGCCCAGACACAGGGGACCGCAGGACGTGTGGAGAAAGGTCTCCCTGGGAAGAGCCAGGTTTTTCTTGCGAATGGTGGGTTTTCTTATGTATAGTTTTGATTCGGGAGAATCTGGAAGGTTCTGGAGTACACAGGGAGCCTCCTCTCGATAAGAGCGAATGAATCAGCATCCCTGCAGCAAGGCTGGAGGGGTGGATGTTCAAGCCCAGCTCGTGGTCTGGCTGGATCCCTGTGCAGTGCCCTGTCGGGGGAAGTCCTCCCCATGCCCCGCGATGCTGAGGACTCCAGCCCCGTGCTCACCTCCTCGATGGCGGGCTTCAGGGTGACGTGCAGGTAATGCATCCCCGCCAGCTTCATGGTCTCGTCGATGCACTTGGACGCCAGCGAGTTTCCTCGGAAGATGGTGTTGGGGTCCCTGGGAAATGGCGATGGGGACAGTGTTTGTCTCCTGGGGACACGGAAGAGCAAATCGGAGCAGAGCCTGGCCCCGAGCACCTGCCTGTGGGCCGTGAGGTCAGCGCACGCCCATTCGTCGGCTTCCTGACGTTTTACAAGGAGCACAACCAGGCCAGGAGCTCGAGGCCCTGCCCATGGAACCATCCTGTGTCAACAATGCCAGAGGAAACCACTCAGCTGCCCGCGTGGCCACCAGCTCAGGAGGAGCCTGGCTGGCCTTTGCTCCCGTCCTCTCGCCCTCTGCGGCCTGTGCCTGCACAGAGAATTGAGCACCAGACCCTGGCAGGATCTGAGGGCCAGCAGAGAAGCAAACCCCTCCTGCCAGCTATGGTGGCCACAGGTGCAGCCGGATGTTTCTAGAATAAGGTGTCTGGAAACAGCGCTCAGCAGGTCCTGAGGGAAGCCGTGCCCCATTTTCATGGGCTCCCAAAGTGCCCCAGTGAGGGGACCTGAGCTGTCCTCGAGCCCTGGGAGCCGTTTTCCCTCCCCACTCACTCACTCTACCCGGGATTTCAAAGGCAAACGGGGCTTTCAAAGAAAAAAAAAGAATCATTAACTGGGTCTGTGAAAAAAGCCTGAATCCACACTGTTTCTGGGGACACTTGAATTCCCTCAAGCCCTGCACCAGGACGTGGTTCCCAGCGACGACCTCGCCATCCCTGCAGTGGGTCCAAGCTGCTCTCCCCCGGGGCGGGGCGGGGCGGGCACTCACTGGGTCCGCTTCACCTCCGCGCTGGCGATGGCACTGATGAAGGGCACCACCCTGCCGTAGTGTAGCAAGAGCCGCACCAGCGGGACGGCCGCCTCCTGCTTCTCCCGGCAAACCTCACCCAGGATGTGGGCCGCGGATGCTGACACGGGCTGCGGGGAAGGGCGAGGTCAGTGCCAGGGCCCAGGGTATGGGACCCTCAGAGGCCTGTCCCCACCCTGGCTGGGGTCTCACTTCCAGCCACAATAGATATGGCTCTTTGCTGAGACAGAAACACATATATTCACAAAAGCACCAAAACTTCCCATTTGCTGCTGCTTGGCTGGGCCCTTGGAGGGGCGTCTGCACCTCCTCCTAGCAACCCCCAAATGCGGCCAGCTCTAGGGCTCCTGAGCCAGCAGAGGGACCCCGATGATGGGGATCCCCCTCAGACAACCCCGCGAGGCCTCAGCATCACCAGGCTCCCACGGCTGTACCTGCAGACAGACCAGTGCCCCCAGCAAAGGGGTCCAGGCATCTGGGCGGGAAACAGGCCGGGCTGGGAGGCGTGGGAAAGGCCCCTCAGGGACGAGGTGCCCTCTGGGGTGGGGCAACGCGTGGGGCGGGGCCCCAGGCAGGTGGCACCTCCTACCCACACCCACAGGCCACGGCGTGGACAAGCACCTCCACGTCCGCAGACTTCAACAGCAGGTCCCGCAGAGGGCTGTAATAGTCAGAAGAAAACACGTGGTCTTCCGTGTATACCACGTTCAGCCGCAGGGAGCCCAGGTCGTCTGGCTTTAGGCTCTTGCTACCGTTGTCCCGGGGCTGCAAGAAGTACCTGGGTGGGAGGGACACACGGAGGGAAGCGTGAGGCTGAACCTGCCAAGGAGCAGCTCTCAGGGCAGCCCAGCTGCCTGCTTGAGGCTGACTGATCAGGAGGGTGATCCTGCAGGACCCCCCAGAGTGCAGCCCCTGGGATTCCCCACAGAAGACCCCCAGCACAGCTGGTCACTGGGGATCCCCAGGAAGCAAGTGTTGGAGCCAAAGACGCAGGAGTCAATGGGGGAAACGCGGAGGGGGATGGGGGGTGCAACGTGGAGGGAACGGGTTTCTGGGAACCCGCGCAGAAGTGGTCAGTGATTCGCCGTGAAGACCTATGGCCGGCAATGTCAGCAGCAGGTGGAAATGAAAATTATTTCAACCACAGCGTGCCCTGGCTCCTGATGCCACAGGTGGGGGCCTTGGGCTGGTGAGCCTGGCAGGCCACCTCGGCACCTGGTCATTGTGGGCGATGTTTCCTGCCCGGCCACTCTTCCATCTTTGGTTCTGCCCCATGCAGTCACCCAGGAGCCCTCTCTGCTCTGATTTGTGGGCCAGGCAGTCTAAGCTCTCAGGTGGGTGGAGCCCGTGTCCGAGGCACGAGCCCCCGTCAGGTGGGTGGAGCCCGTGTCTGAGAGGCACGAGCCCCCGTCAGGTGGGTGGAGCCTGTGTCTGAGGCACGAGCCCCCGTCAGGTGGGTGGAGCCCGTGTCTGAGGTATTAGCCCCCGTCAGGTTGGTGGAGCCCGTGTCTGAGGCACGAGCCCCCGTCAGGTGGGTGGAGCCCGTGTCCGAGGTATGAGTCCCCGTCAGGTCGGTGGAGCCCGTGTCTGAGGCACGAGTCCCCGTCAGGTCGGTGGAAGGCCGTGTCTGGAGCCCCCGTCAGGTCGGTGGAAGGCCGTGTCTGAGGCACAAGGCCCCGTCAGGTGGGTGGAGCCCGTGTCTGAGGTATTAGCCCCCGTCAGGTGGGTGGAGCCTGTGTCTGAGGCACGAGCCCCCCGTCAGGTGGGTGGAGCCCGTGCCTGAGGTATTAGCCCCCGTCAGGTGGGTGGAGCCTGTGTCTGAGGCACGAGCCCTCCCCGTCAGGTAGGTGGAGCCTGTGCCTGAGGTATTAGCCCCCGTCAGGTGGGTGGAGCCCGTGTCTGAGGCATGAGCCCCCGTCAGGTAGGTGGAGCCTGTGCCTGAGGTATTAGCCCCCGTCAGGTCGGGGGAAGCCCGTGTCTGAGGCACAAGCCCCCGTCAGGTCGGGGGAGCCCGTGTCTCAGGCAGGAGCCCCCGTCAGGTGGGTGGAGCCTGTGCCTGAGGTATTAGCCCCCGTCAGGTCGGGGGAAGCCCGTGTCTGAGGCACGAGCCCCCGTCAGGTGGGTGGAGCCCGTGTCTGAGGTATCAGCCCCCGTCAGGTGGGTGGATCCCGTGTCTGAGGTATGAGCCCCCGTCAGGTGGGTGGATCCCGTGTCTGAGGTATGAGCCCCCGTCAGGTCGGGGGAAGCCCGTGTCTGAGGCACGAGGCCCCGTCAGGTCGGGGGAGCCCGTGTCTGAGTCATGAGCCCCCGTCAGGTCGGGGGAGCCCGTCGTTCCGCGGGTTATTAGCCCGGTCAGCTGGGTCGAGCGTTCTAGGAGGTATGAGCCCGCCGTCAGGGTTGGGTGGAGCCCGTGTCTGAGGCACGAGCCCCCGTCAGGTCGGTGGAAGGCCGTGTCTGAGGCACAAGGCCCCGTCAGGTGGGTGGAGCCCGTGCCTGGGGTATTAGCCCCCGTCAGGTGGGTGGAGCCTGTGTCTGAGGCACGAGCCCCCCGTCAGGTAGGTGGAGCCTGTGCCTGAGGTATTAGCCCCCGTCAGGTCGGGGGAGCCCGTGTCTCAGGCAGGAGCCCCCGTCAGGTGGGTGGACCCCGTGTCTGAGGCATGAGCCCCCGTCAGGTAGGTGGAGCCTGTGCCTGAGGTATTAGCCCCCGTCAGGTCGGGGGAAGCCCGTGTCTGAGGCACGAGCCCCCGTCAGGTGGGTGGATCCCGTGTCTGAGGTATGAGCCCCTGTCAGGTGGGTAGACCCTGTGTCTGAGCCATGAGCCCCCGTCAGGTGGGTGGAGCCCGTGCCTGAGGTATTAGCCCCGGTCAGGTCGGGGGAAGCCCGTGTCTGAGGCACGAGGCCCCGTCAGGTCGGGGGAGCCCGTGTCCGAGGTATTAGCTCCCGTCAGGTGGGTGGAGCCCGTGTCTGAGGTATGAGCCCCCGTCAGGTGGGTGGATCCCGTGTCTGAGGTATGAGCCCCCGTCAGGTGGGTGGAGCCCGTGCCTGAGGTATTAGCCCCCGTCAGGTCGGGGGAAGCCCGTGTCTGAGGCACGAGGCCCGGTCAGGTCAAGGGAGCCCGTGTCCGAGGTATTAGCCCCCGTCAGGTGGGTGGAGCCGGTGTCCGAGGTATTAGTCCCCGTCAGGTGGGTGGAGCCCGTGTCCGAGGCGCAAGCCCCCGTCAGGTGGGTGGACCCTGTGTCCGAGGTATTAGCCCCCGTCAGGTGGGTGGAGCCCGTGTCTGAGGCACAAGCCCCCGTCAGGTGGGTGGAGCCCGTGTCTGAGGCACAAGCCCCCGTCAGGTGGGTGGAGCCTGTGTCTGAAGCATGAGCCCCCGTCAGGTGGGTGGAGCCTGTGTCTGAGGCATGAGTCCCCGTCAGGTGGGTGGAGCCCATGTCCGAGGCATGAGCCCCCTGGGGTTCTCTGGGGTCTGTAGTGGCTGCCTTGGCTACCCGGGCCAGGGGTTCGCTCAGCGTAGGAGGAAGCCTAACTCAGCTCAGGGGGCCTGTGCCCGTGCCGTCTTCATACAATCAAAAGACATGTGCGTTTCAGTTTCTGGGATGGAAACCTGCCCTCACACACACGGCAGAGGGACACATGGGGCGTTAGGCCGCGGCACACAGTCCACGCCTGGCAGTGCACGCCTCCCGCAACTCCGGGCCCTCTCAGGAGCTGCCTGTCGCTAAGGGACACACGTGAACTGGAAGTAAAATCAAACAATGGCCTGCTCCTTCCACCAAAACACCAAGCACCTGGAGAAAACAGGAAAGAAAGGCAGGAGGCAGCAATACACGTCATGCCCTGGGGTGGGTTCTGGGTTGGAGCCGATCCCTGAGGTCCAGACCTGCAGAGGGGAGTGGAGAACCCTGTAATGCGCCCTCAATAGGAGGTGCTGCAGAGGGCCCAGAGCAAGACCCGGAGTGCAGCCGTGGGGCAGGGCCCGCTGTGCGCATTCTGGGCTCCCGCACCAGCTGCTGATACCCTCTCCTCCCGGGGTCAGACCCCGCGAGCGGCTGGCGGCTCAGGGTCCCCTTTTCACCCGGGGTCAGACCTCGCGAGCGGCTGGCGGCTCAGGGTCCCCCTTTCACCCAGGGTCAGACCCCGCGAGCTGCTGGTGGCTTAGGGTCCCCCTTTCATCCGGGGTCAGACCCCACGAGCTGCTGGTGGCTCAGTGTCCTGCTTTCACTAGCGTTCCCTGTCTTGTTTTGAGGTGCCAGCCGTCGTGAGTCCCTGCTCAGTGTGATCCCTGCTGCCTCTCCTCACCTGCCGTTTCTCACCTGCTGTGAGGCAGAAACTCATCAGCAGGCGGGTGCCGGGCGCAGCCGAGGACCAGCACACACGGCCTCTGTGCCTTTCCACTCAGAGGCAGCATGTGTTTTTGTGGCTCTCAGAGATGTGGAAGTCTGCAGGCGCAGCGTCACCTTACCATGCCTCGTAGGAGCTGGACTGCCGCAGGACTTTCAACGGGATCCTTAGTTCTCCCAGGAATTCATCTCCAAACTTCAGGTTACTGGCATTCCAGAGGTCAACTCTGAAAAACGGCATCGGTACAGCTCTAGCTGACAGCGGGCAGCCCGGGTGAAGCAGAGATTACGGGCCATGCTTTGTTTCCCTAGGAGCAGGGGGAGCCTGCAGTGCCTCCCAGAGTCTCCATCAAGGCTCAGCCCACGGGGCACGTTTAAAACACATCAGACCAGCCTGTGGTTTTGGAATAAAGATGAGTGTCTCCCAGTGGTAATGGGCAGGCAGAGGAAGGCAGAAGGCTCTTAGATAGGAAGGAGCCTGGGCGTCGTTCCGTGCACCCGGGAGCTACATGACCCCAGGCTCTGCGCCAGGAGGGAGCCGGGCATCGCTGCGTGCACCCAGGAGCTACGCGGCTGCTGCCGCTCTCAGCTCCAGCACCATCTGTCCCCTTTGCCCACAACAGGCCCAATGTCAGCAGCCTGTGCACGGCGGGCAAGTGAGACCCTCAGGGGCCTGTGGCGTGTGCCTCTCACGCCGTCCCAGCGTACGGCCCAGCAGCCTTCATCTGCAGGGCTCAATGCAGGGGATGATGAAGAACCTGGGCTGTAGAGAGGAGGGTGCCCATGGAGGATGGGCTGGCTGATTCAACAGCCAGGGGCTCTCTGCTCTCGTCACATGAAAATGTGCCTCAAAACAAAACTGGGTGCTTGCGAATGCCCTGCCCCTGAATATAGAACCCTGTGTCCACAGATCGCTTATGACCTGGGGCATGAAGTGGATTCAGGGGCCACGCACATCACAGCAGGGGGAGAACCGTGGCCACAGCATGGTCCATGAATCTCCCTGAGTAGCCTGGGCCCAGCATCGTGAAGCTTCTGCTAATGTCTAACACGGCAGTGGCTTCCACTAATGCTCTGTCCTGGTGTGGGACAGTACGTCTCCCCTCAGACCTGGGGCTGTGAAATTCTGACAGACACACAGCATCCCTGGCTGCAACAAGTCTACAGGACTGTACCCCAGTCCCTCATGGCCAGGACCCACCCGCGCGCCTGAAACACCCGAAGTCATATGTGGCCAGCTCTACCCATGGGCCTGAAACCCCAGTTACACGTGCCCGGCCCTACCCAGGTGGCTAAAACTCAGCAGGTCTAACCACACTGTGGCCATCAGGGGCATCCCCCTGGGGGGAGAAGATCCCGGAAGGCCGGTGATTCTGTTGCCCTTGCGAATCCTGCAGAGGCACTGGTGTCTGGGGCCGGGGAGGGCTGACAGGCTGCACGAGAACCCACAGCGCGCTCCTTTCAGAAGGAACAGAGGGGACCGCTGATCTGTGCAGGGACTTTGGAAATGTGACAAGTGGCCAGGCAGGCGCATCTGCCTTTAAAAAAGGAAATATTTAAAACACGTTTTGTGTGCTTTAAAAAAATTCAGTAACTAGGACTTCACTCCTGAATTCAAAGCTTGGTGTAAAAAGGAACCAACGATGGTGCTTCCTTCTCTTGAAAAAGGGGCTGGTGGTGGGGCTGGCATGAGTCCTGGGGAGGCTTCCTCGATGCCCGGCCCAGGGTCTCAGGCCCTGGCTCAGTACCGTGAAGCCTGGAAATGAAGGTTTAGGCCAAGACATTTAAAAATGGGACTCAAACAGAGACAGTTGGTGGAGACAACCCTGCTTTAGGACTTCCACGTCAGGGACACGCCTACAGTTCAGGACCCTGACCCCTCAGGAGGTGGATCTGACCGACCACGTCAGGGACATTCTATGGTTCAGGATGGGGACAACTAGGGGAGGCGGATCTGACCGATAACATCAGGGACATTCCTACGGTTCTCAACCACAAAACCACGCCTCCCAGCAGCCGTAGGGCCTGAGCCACACACTGGCTCCACATGTCCCGGTAAGGGTCCCCCTGGGGCACTGCCAGGCCCTGGGAGGCAGCGTGACCAGGGATTTGATGCCACATTCTCCAAAATGACCTAAAGAAAGCAGGTGCATCCCAGGCTCAGAAGCATCCCAGGCTCAGGGTCTCAGGGCCAGCTGGGGAGGGTCAGGAGGGAGCCGTTTCGTTCCTTCTCTGTCCAGCATGGAAAGGTTCGGGGGCTTCAGGGGAGGTTCATCTGCCTCTTCACAGGGGATGGGGGCATTTGTTGGTACATAAGGAACAGAGGCTACGTTCAAAAAGAAACAGGAATCCAGCCTATTTTCACCGGGAGGGGAGAACCCACCAGCGTTTGTGAAGGGCACATTCTGGGGCCCGCCCTCCCCAGACCTCTGAGTCAGCCGGATCGTGGGGCTTTATAAATTCTAGGCCTGAGATCACGTCCCAACCTGCGAGAACCCGCAAGCGATTTCCCCGTTTCCCGTGGGAGGCGCTGAAGAGCCAGGAAAGGGCGGTGGGGGCTCCAGGGCAAAGGCTGACGATGCAGCTTCTATGACCACAAGCAGGAAACATGAACCCAGGACCAGGTGAGAACGTTTCACTCGAATCAAAGGGGACAGGGTCTCCACAGAGGCCACCCAGCCGAGAGCCTCAGGAGTGCTAGGGCCGGGCGCCGTGCAGACCCGCCAGGCCTGTGACCTCCAAGTGAGGCCTGCACCCATGGACGGCGGAGGGCTTAGAACAAGACCTTAAGAACAGCTGCAGCCCGTGTGCCCGTCGCTCCTGGTGGATGGAGCCTTTCGGCCGGAGGGATGTGGACCTCTGGCCTTCGCCTCTTCGCAGGAATTGCAAGGTGAGCCCTAACACCACCCACAGGCTGTCACTTCAACTACAGCTTCTAACATCTGTTGTGAAAATTACCAAGAAAATGGAAATTCTTTTCTACCTATGACCCTATATTTAGAAACAAATAACAAAAGAGCTGAGGAGTTTGGGTGAAAACTGCCAAATCGGGGACGCGGAGCCTGGTTTTCTCACCTGATTTCGAGCTTGTCCACGTCTTCTTCCTCGAAGTCAAAGTGAGACTTCTTGCTGTAGCTACAGGGCCGGGTCACCTGGAGTCAGCAAGAGAGAGAAAGCGCTGAGACCGCGGTGCCACCAGGCGGGGGTATCTCCACATGGACGCAGGCCCGGGGCTGCCCTTCCTCTGCGCTTACCCACACGCCACTCAAGGGCCACAACCGGGAAGGCCCTAGGTGAGATTCGGGATTCAGGCCCGGCTTCCTGAGTGCCAGCATTTCCCACTCACAGAGCCCCTGGAGGGGCAGACCCAGGCGAGACCTGCCCCAAGGCCGTTCACAGCCACGGCTGGACTCTCCCCGCGGTTCCTGATGGGTGCCGGGCTCCGGGGACCTAAACGTCCCTCACCTGCACCTGCTCTAGGCCTGCTACCCTGTGAGGGAGGGACCCCCTCTGCTGTGGAGACGAAGCGGCCCCACCTCAAGGCTCTATTTGCCAACAGGAAGTGAAAAGCGTGAGGCCTGTGGTGCCCGAAACTCGCCAGCCCCTAACAGACCCCAGCACTCTGGGGAGCGTCAGATGGCGGAAAGTCAAGATGCTGCTACCTTCCTCCTGACACCTCTGCACCGTGGGTTCCTCAGAACAGAAGGGAGTGAAGGCATAAAGGGTCGAGGCTCCGGGACCGCCCCCCACTGCCGCCAGCCTGCAGGGTCCTTGCAGCAGAGCAGGAGGCTGCTCCACGGGCTCCAGGAGACCACAGTCGGTTACCACCTCGAGTTCCAATTTAACCACCATCACCATGCACCAGGTCACCCACGTTTATAAGGAGGGCTCCCTCCTGCCCGACCTCCCTCCCTGCCCCACCTTCTCTGGGCCTCAGCAGTGATGCTAGCTCAGGAGCTCTCAGCTCGAAGTTCTGATGCAGGGTCTGATGCCAAAATCACGTTGCTAGAACTGCCTAACCTCTGAGCTTGCACTTCCTGATTGGTAAACTGAGGCAAAGATCATGCAGGGGCAGTTCTCTGCTTCGGGTTGAGGGCTGCTGATGCCTCCTCCTTCCTGACCTACACACCACTGTCCTCAAATTTGCTTCCCCCCAACTTCCCCATCTCATAAAACTCAGGTCAGGCAACATCTCCTCCAGGAAGCCCCTGACACCCCTGTCTCACGCCCTCTCTGCAGAGCAGGTCAGGCAATACCTCCTCCAGGAAGCCCCTGGCGACCCTGCCTCACACCCTTTCTACAAGGCAGGTCAGGCAATGTCTCCTCCAGGAAGCCCCCGGCACCCCTGTCTCACACCCTTTCTACAAGGCAGGTCAGGCAATGCCTCCTCCAGGAAGCCCCCGGCGCCCCTGCCTCACACCCTCTCTGCAGGGCAGGTCAGGCAACGCCTCCTCCAGGAAGCCCCCGGCGCCCCTGCCTCATGCCCTCTCTGCAGGGCAGGTCAGGCAATGCCTCCTCCAGGAAGCGTCCCTCCCAGTGCCCCTGCCTCACACCCTCTCTGCAGACCAGGTGAGGCAATGCCTTCTCCAGGAAGCGTCCCCCGCAGTGCCCCTGCCTCATGTCCTCTCTGCAGGGCAGGTCGGAAGCTATTGTAGGGGCTTGTCTGTTTGCGTCCCTCCCATGCTGGTCTGGTGTGGTGGCCTTGGACTCCTCTGTTTTCTCCCACATCTTATCACCAGCTGATCACCGGCACAGTGCTGGCACCTGACACATCTGTTGAGTGAATGAAAGCAGCTCCTACCAAATTTATGAGATTATTTAATCTCATTTAGAGAGTTAAAGGGCCTTAATGTGTCTAGTCGTGATCCTGGAAGAAAAAGGTACAGACACTGCTTCCCATGGAAACGGAACATCTGTTTTCCTGGGTCTGCTCCTGGTAGGTGGCTGTCCGACCACAGCCTGTGGGAGACACGCTCCCCCTCCGGGGTTCGGCCTCCAGCTGGGTCAGAAGCAGCTGAAGCCAAAAGAGACAGGGTCCTGGTGAAAGAGGTCCATGGCTGCTAAGGAAGGGGTGGAGACGGAGTGAAAGGTCACAGAGCCCAAAGAGCAGGGCCCCGTGTGTCCCACACGGCAGTGGTCAGCGAGGTCCGGGCCTTCCCTGGAGCCCCACAGGTGGTGATGCAGACCACGGTTTTCAGACTCTCTGTGGTCACTAAATTACTCCAGTAGGCTGAGACCCACGTCTTTACAGAGTGAATGGGAGTGCACACGGTAGAAACGGTGTGAGAACACCGCAAGCGTGATGAGCACCCGGGTGTGGCCGGGCAGTGGGCGAGCTGTACCCCACTGTGTGTATGACAGCTCCACGTGTGGCAGCCGACAACCCCACCGTGTATATGACAGCTCCATGTGTGGCAGCCGAGCCGGGGGAAGCTGCCACCTGGAACTCCGTCCATGCCACACGCCTCCTGCACCGCCAACAGGGCCCAGCCTGCCCCTGGGAGCCTGGCAGCTCCCTGCCTTCCCTTGCTCTGGCAAAACCATCTTCTCCACCTGTCTCTAAGTGAGGGCTTCCGTTTGAGACAGAGAACAGATTCCACCTCCAAAGCCCTCCTCACAGCAGCCCTGAAAGCCTGGGTCTGGCTTCGGACACCAAGTTCCCACCTCTGCCTGTGGGGCCCTTTTGAGCCTCAGCAGTGCCCATAGGTCCTGCTCAGACTGGTAGGTCCACTCTCCAATGGTCCCCCCAGAGCTGCATGCATCGAGCGCCGCTCAGCCATCATGGCTCAGGGGAGCCCGCCTGACCCCTCAGGTGTGACTGGCCATGCTCCTGCCACAGAGGCCTCATCCATCCTCACATCTCCAGGGCTTGTGCACGGGAAGGTTTGTGGATGGGAAGAGCATCTGTCTAAAGGCCCTGCAGACAGCCATCCCCAAACCGCGCCGGCCACATGGCAGGTCCCCACTCCATGAGATGCAGCCGTCCCCAAATGGCACAGTGGGTCCCACTCTACCAGGTGCAGCCCTTGCACCCTCCTTCTCATGGATTTTGGTGCTTCATGTTCTGAGAGGATCTCTGTGTCTGAATCCTTCCCTGCTTTGCTTCAAAACCCTGCCTATTTCCACTGGAACAAGCATTCCGCCTGCTCAGGGACACTTGGGCGGAGCAGCCAAAAAGACAACAAAAAACCCCAAAGTCCTGGTAATTTGGAAAGCATTAACCTGTCATCTTTTAACTCAAATCTGGGCCAGTTCGGGAGACAACGAAAGGCCTTTCTCTCTCGGGAGAGGAGAGAAGGTCTTGGGGCCACGGGTCCCAGGGCCGGCAGGGCTGCCTCCTCTCCGGGAGGAACTTCCAGAGGGAAGAGACTGAGATGGTTCTGATCCAGACTTTCTGCCAATGTGTCTCGGGTGCAGCCTGCACTTGACGTTCACCCACGAAGATACCAACCTCAAAATAAAACACTTCATCGAACTGGGGGTTGTTGGTCTTCCGCTTTACTTTCGTCTTCTTTGCTTCCGATCTGTTATTGAGAGAGAAAGGATTGGGATTAAAGTAACACTGCTGATTCCAAGTCTCTCAGTCATAAAACTGAGCTCTCAAATGCACAAGTCACTTATTGCCTTTATTTATTTCATAAATATTCCTGTTCGTCTCCAACTCCAGATGGTATGCAAATCCCGAACCTTTACCGAGACAAAAATACTCAGCACAAAGAGCACGAAGGCTTCGTTTTCTACAGAGCAATTTTGGAGCAATAAAGAAAACAAAAGGAAGTAAAAATTACATATTCTACCTCAAAGCGCAGCCTCCTGCCTCCTCCCAAATGAGGCAGTGGCCTCGTGATTTCAGAGCTGGACCCTCGCCCCCCAGGACCAGAAACAAAAACCTGAGGCATGAGGCCACTTGCCTGAAGGGTCCTGCCAGCGTCACGGTGGCGTAGGGGTCGCACTGCCCATTCACGATGGGGAGGCCCTGGCACTCAACGATGCTGAGGAGAGAAGCAGAGGCGGCATCAGGAGGGAGCGCAGACCCCCGGGCAAATGGTGAGACAGCTCTGGGTCGGGCAGGAGGCCTCGGTTCAAGCTGTGAGATGCGGTTTCCTCCCTGGAAGGCTGGGAGGGCCCATGACAGCCGCTCTGCCTCGGTGTGACACTGAATCACGCCGGCCGTTCGCAAAAGCCCAAAACAACACCTCTAAGGTGAGCATGTGCTTTAGTGAGGACGCCAGGAGTGTGTAACAGGACACCTAAAGCAGTGTCATCGGGGGGGCAGGACCCCGAAAACAGCGTCATCCTGGGGGCCCAGGACGTCTAAAACACTGTCGTCTTGCGGTGCCAGAACCTCTAAAACAGTGTCATCCTGGGGGTGCCAGAACCTCTAAACAGCGTCATCCTGGGGAGCCACCGGCTCTGGAAATTTCTGTGTGTTGGTTTGAAAACCCCTGTGTGCTCCTCGGGAGCCAGACGGGCCACTCGCTGTGTGCTCAGTCCCTGGTGAGGACGCGTCTTACCGTGTGGCGAGCTTGTGGCAGACGACCCCAGTGTCTGTGATGACCTCGCTCAGCCGCAGCTCCAGGTGCACTTTGCCCTGCAAGGCATGAGGACGGGGTGTCAGGGGCTGTGGCGCTCCCACAGGCTGCCAGGGCCGCACAGCCCAGGGAAAGCCTAGAAGGCAAAGGGAGCAGGTGGCTCCACCCCGCCGCAGCCGACGGGCACGTCTGGCCCCTCCACTCCACCCCCGGACGCAGGGTCCCAGCCGTGGCCTTTCTTCAGGAGAGCTGTCTGCCTGGCCGCTCAGCCCCATGTGGCTGCCCAGGCTCCTGGCTCTGCTGAGAGCAGGTCGCTGCCTCAGAAGTGAGGGGTCCAACCGTGTGGGAGATGGTCATTCGGTGAAGCAGCCCCCCAAAGACACTGACGCTGCAGCTGCTCACGTGTGTCCACTGGGGCAAAGCGGAGGGGAAGCAAGCTCTCTCCTGAACCGGGGCCACTGCCTGCCTTTACCTCCCCGCGGGCAAGGCCGCATGGAACCCGCAGGAAGCTCGGAGAGCTCACACAGAGAGCAAGGCTCACACAGACAGCAAGGCTCACACGGAGAGCAAGGCTCACACAGAGAGCAAGGCTCACACGGAGAGCAAGGCTCACACAGAGAGCAAGGCTCATGGGGGCTTCCAGCAGAACAGACAGCAAGGCTGCCCTGCGGGTCCACCTGTCTCTACAGATCCATCTGTCTCTGCGTGCTGCTGTGTCTGTCCACCTGTCTGTGTGCACAGCTGTGGGTGTGTGTCCACCTATCTGTGAGTACGATTGTGTGTCTGCCTATGTGTGTGTGCGGTTTGTGTGTCTGGCTGTGTCCACCTGTATAAGCATGTTGTGGTGTGTGTGTGCCCATCTGTGTGTGTCCACTTGTCTGTGCATGCAACTATGTGTCCATCTGTGGATACTGCTGTGTGTGCATGTCCACCTGTGTGTGTGTCCACCTGTGTCCATCTGTGCATTTGACTGTGTGTGTCCATCTGTGCTGTGTGTGTGTGTGTGCAGCTGTGTGTCCTCCTGTGTGTGCGGCTGTGTCTACCTGGGTGCATGCAACTGTGTGTGTGTCTGCCTATGCATATATGTGACTATGTGTGTCCATCTGTGCTGCTGTGTGTGCGTGTCCTCCTGTGTATAGCTGTGTGTCCACCTGTGTGCAACTGTGTGTCCGTCTGTGTGTGTTGCTGTGTCCACCAGTGTGAATGCGACTGTGTGTCCACCTGTGTGTGCATGTGACTGTATCTGCTTGTGTGTACGTGTCCACCTGTGTGCAACTGTGTACATGTTTGCCTGTGTGTGCATGCAGCTGTGTGTGTCTGCCTGTCTGTGCATGTGGCTATGTGTCTGTGTGGGTGTGCAACTATGTATGTGTGTCCATCTGTGTGCACACGGCTGTGTGCATCTGCCTGTGTGTGCATGAAACTGTGTATCTGCCTGTCAGTGTCCGCCTGTCTGTGTGTGCGTCTGCCTGTGTGTGTGGCTGTGTGTGTCCTTCTGTGCATGCAACTATGTGTGTGAGCAGCTGTGTGTGCATCTGCCTGTGTGTGTATCTGCCTGTGTGTCTTCTTGTCTGTGTGTGTGTGTGGCTGTGTGCATGTCCTTCTGTGTGTGTGTGTGACTGTGTGTGTCCACCTGTGTATGTGTGTTTGTTGACCTGTCTGTACATGCAACTGTGTGTGGATGTCTGCCAGTGTGTGCACCGCCTGTGTGTACATGTGACTGTGTCTGCCTGTGTGTGTGTGCGGCTGTGCGTGCCTATCTGTGTGTGCCACTGTCCCTGTATTTGCTCCAGCCTGAATGGCACTGAATGGATGGAATGAACACAGACTCATCCATGCATCAGGAGCTCTGCCTGGCCCGGCCCTGAGCTCTTGCTCCTGAGGCTCCAGCAAGGCCAGGGCCTGTTCCCCAGGGCTTGTCACTGCCTGTGGGAGGGCAGGAGGGACGGGCAGAATGCGTGGCACTAAGACGTGGACGGCAGAACCGACGGCAGCCCTGCAGCATGTGGCCTGGTGCAGAACCTCAGATGGAGTAGGGACCTCACTTAGGCCCCACCAACCTAAACGTTAAAAAATCTTAAAGTTCCTTCAAAAATCTTCCAGACACCTAGCCCGCCTTGAGAGGTAAATCACCTAATAAGAAAAATAAACCATAAAATAATACCCAAAAAATTAGTCAAGAGATATTTATTCCCTATACAAGTTAAAAATAGCATCTTCACATATGCCACTAAGCTGTTTTTCAAAAACCCAGACCCTCAGCAAACAGATCTACCAACACAGATCACAAATGCAGGGGGATCACAGACCCGAACCCCAAATGCCAGGCTCTGTTCTGTGGCTGTCCACGGGCTAAAGCAGTGCCCTGAACACCAAAAGACAGGAGGAAGTGCCTGGCCCAAGAGTAACTGAGAACCCACCGCTTCATCCCATTCTTAAATGGCGGGCGCAAACTCCCTCAGGACAGAAGTGTTCAGATTAGAAAGAGGCTGTGCAGATGGAGGCAGCTCGATTCCTGTTAGGGAGCTTCAGGAAGAGTCACGCCGCATCGGGGGTTGTGGTCCCCAGCAGCAGGTTGCGGCCCCCATGTGCTCTCCTGGCTCCTGGCAGCAGGCTGTGCGGCCCCCGTGTGCTCTCCCGGGTCCTGGCAGCAGGCTGTGCAGCCCCGTGTGCTCTCCTGGGTCCCGGCTGGGTCCAGGGGCACCTGGCTGGGCACCATCAGGTCCTGAGGCTGCTCTGTTCCTGCAGTGTGAATCCTTCCTGACCAGCTGACTTGTGCGCTTCCGTCTTCTGCTGATTCGGGAGTGGGAACAAACAAAATCCACCCCTGGAAGGCCCTTTCTCCTGCCAGAAAAGTCGCTGAGTAAATCTGCAGGTGCCAGCGCAGGCTGGAGAATCCCAGAACGTTTAGAGGTTAAACGACACAGTTCTAAATAACACACAAATTGGAGAACACAAGACACATTTTAAAATGTTCTGGAATAAACAGAAATGAAAGTGTTACTCATCAAAATCAGTGGGACGCAGCGGGAGCCGTGGTCAGGGTTTGACAGAATCCGGAGTACCGGCCGCACAGACTAGAGCAGAAGGGAGATCCGAACCCTGACCTGAGCTTAGGGCTGGGAGACTGAGGAAAATGAGCAAACTAAACCCAGAGCCCAAGAACAGAAACCAGAAGTCAGATCAGAAACCAACAGAGAAAAATCAAAGCCAAAGGCAAATTCCTTGAGAGACCAATAAAACTAATAAACCTCTAACCAGGCTACCAAGAGCAAAGGGAAAAGGCACAAATTCCCACAGGAAAGGAATGAGAGGACCTGGCTGCCGATCCTGGCACCTGCCTAGATGCTGCACTGAGGTCCCTGGCACTGCACTCCTGCGAACTCACAGACGTAGCTAAGGGGCCCAGCGTCCACCACGGCTGAGCTCCTCACAATGCGTGGCTGCAGTGTCACCCGGTGTCACCCATGGGGCCCTGGGCGGGGGCTACTGAGGGGTGTATGGAAACTCCGCACTCCGCTCAGTTTCCCTGTGAACACAGAACTGCCCCCAAAACAGAGTTAATTTTAAAAAAGCAGCCAGTGGTCCCCATCCACCTTTCTCAGGAAGGCCTTCCCCAGGGAGAGAGCAGTGCGCGGGGCCAGGTCAGCGTCCTGGCCCCCGCAACCGGCTGCTGCATCCCCAGCTGGGCGGGCAGCAGCCCAGAAGGCAGCCAGGACAGAGGCGCCTGGGATGCAGGGCTGTTCCACGCCGGCTGCAGAGAAGAGACAAAGTCAGCGGGCAGGTGAGAGGGGACACAGAGGCCACGAGGAAGGAAGCCTAGCCTTGGCCCTCTCCTCCTGCAACCCTGGAGAAACGTAAAAGCTTGGCCCTGGATGACACAGTGACTTTGTTTGCTCTGAAAATCCTTCCAAGAGGACTGTCTGCTGCACAAACACAAAATTCCCAGAGGCTGTAGCAGGAGGCTGGAATTTCTACCCCAGTCTCTGATTTCATGGTGCAACTGGAAGGCTCCAAGGGGGAAAACACGCAGGTGTCTCTCGGGCGGACAGCGGACCCGGGGGTTTGCTGTGATCCCTCGCAGGGCCGTGCTATTTCCTGAATACGTCACAGATGCACTTGAATGCCCGGCTTATAAAGGAGCTCAGTGACCCCCCAGGCGCCCAAATCACCGCGATGCCTCGCTGTCACAGGCAGTGCCCCCGCTGGCATCTGATGCTGACACTGCCCTGCGTCGGGAGAGGGTCAGAGAGCACAACGCTGCATCATAAAGTGATTTAACGAAGACTTTCCAACAGTGTCCGTTCCAGAAGGAAGCAAGAAAGGTTTAATTGTGTTTCCCCCACTTCCGCGACGCACTCACTGGCCTCCCCTGTGGGCCGCGTCTGTGACACTTACTGTCCGGCCACGGGACGTTTCCTGGGAATCAGAGCGGAGGGACTCAAGAAGCCGCACTGCCACCCCCCTGCCTTCCTGAAAACGGTCACTGTGACATCTTACGATAAAATGGCGGCCCTGAGACTGGAGCTGCTGCTGCTGCTTCTTTTGAGATGGAGTTTCACTCTTGTTGCCCAGGCTGGAGTGCAGGGGAACAATCTTGGCTCACTGCCTCCTCCGCCTCCTGGGTTCAAGCGATTCTTCTGCCTCAGTCTCCTGAGTAGCTGGGACTACAGGCGCCCACCACCACGCTCGGCTAATTTTGTATTTTCAGTAGAGACGGGGTTTCACCATGTTGGTCAGGCTGGTCTCAAACTCCCAACCTCAGGTGATCCACCCGCCTTGGCCTCCCAAAGTACTGGGATTACAGGCATAAGCCACCAAGCCCAGCCTGGAGTTGAGGTTTTAAAGGTTGGCTGGAGTCCAGCAGGGACGCTGCTCCCTGTCATGGCCACATTTTGGGCGGCGTTGTGGCTGACTGCGTCGGTGAAGCGAGCAGGGCAGCACCCGCCCGGGTCCAGCGGGCATCAGAGAGCACTGACCCTGCCTCCTGCCCTTTAGACAACAGCTCACATTTGCCTTCCATAGAGCGCAAATTCCCGGGAGACTGACACCACTTGGTCCAGGATCCTCATGTTCCGGACAGTGAGAGGCAGGCTTGAAGGACGCCGGGCTTGGCCCTGGGCATGCCAGCCGCCTCGGGCGTTAATTATGAGAGTCTACCAGCCGTGAGATCAGCCGGCGGCATTCTTATTTACAGCTTCGTGGAGATGAAATGTCTGAGTCCTAATTGGTGTTGCACAGTCTCCCCTGTGATGACTGTCACAACAGCCCATCGACAGGCAACTGGACCAACAGCACACGCTTCACACCTCGGATCATTCCTCAGCCTCAGAAGGAAGGAGGTTCCGATACCACAAGTGACCTGGGGGACGTCGTGCGGAGCGACATCAGCCTCAGGAAGACCAGCAGGGCAGAGCTGACTGCCATGAGCCACGGGGAGTGGCCCGCATCAGAGACAGAGTGCCATGGGGCTGCCGGGGGGAGGAGGGACGGAAGCGCTTGAATAAACCTCTAGCCAGGGGACAGAGGGGACAGAGGTTCCGCTTTGCAAGATGAAAGGAGCTCTAGAGATGGGTGGTGGTGATGGTTGTACAATATTATGAATACATTTAATACTGTGCCACTGCATTGGACATTTTAAATGGTTAAAATGGTAAATCTCATGATGTCTCTATTTTACCACATAAAAAACTGGAAAAAATAGCATAGAATACACATAGAGAGAGACACACGCACAGAAGCATGTGCCTGTGAACTGGTGAAATCTGGGTAACGTCCGTGGATGGCACAAATGTGGGCATCCTGGTTGGTGTTGCACCAGCTGCACAGGGCGGTGCCTGGGGAAGCCGGGAGAAGGGAGCACGGCCTTCCGTTTTCAGGGCAAGGAGGAGATTCGCCTCTCGCCACTCCTGTGTACTGTTTTGGTGTCTTCCTATAAATCTATAACCATTTCAAAATTAAATCAATCTAAAAAAAAGGCAAGAAAGAGGAAAAGCTACACCTGCCAAAAAAAAAACAAACTTGAATCTGAGGAGAACGATGAGGCTGCACTCTGCCTGCTGCTCAGAGACCCCAGCGACTCGGGTATCCCAGAATAGAAGTGCCGGGAACACGCAGGCGCAGGCGGGAGCGGCCCAGTCAGCAAGCCCCGCCTCCTCCCGGGCAGCACGTGGGAAGCCCCGCCTCCTCCCCCGGCAGCACGTGGGAAGCCCCGCCTTTCTGCTGGGATGCCAGGGTCCGCTGAGCAGCGCGCTGGGGCCCTTGTGCTCTGGGGCTACGAGGACAGTCATTAGTTCTGCAGTAATCACAGCGTCCTTCACTTTCCACAGCACGTGTGGGTTCCCCAGCCAGCGCTTTCCTAGGAAGCGGAGTTAATTAAGTGTGAAGCACAATTAGCACAGGTCCCTTAGGGCAGGGCCATTCCCAGGGCCTCTTGGCTCCACTCCTTCATTTCCGTCCAGGGCCTCACCCCGTCCCCCTGGCTGGGCTCACTGTCAACTTCATGAATGAACCCTTTGCTGGCCATGGGAGTGTGCACAGCCCGTGATCTCAGCAGATGGCGACCTTGACCCAGTGAAGCGCAGAGGACGAGGGCTCCCGGGGAAAAAGGGTTCCGGGGGGACGAGGGTTCCCACAGGACACCAGGCCATCCAGTCCTCTGGCCCAAATCTGCCCTGGACCTGTGGGCACGGAGCCTCCATCTGACCCACCCAGTTGCCTCTGCTGAAGTCTCAGGCAAAGTTCTCACAAGGAACCTATTTTGGGGATTTGTCCCGGATGCCAGCCTCCAGGTGTAAAAATAACAGTCACCACCACCACTTTACAATGTGCCAGGCGCCATCGAGTGGCACACACGCCATTCCAGCCCGCTTCACAAACCCACCCAGATGGGGAAACTGAGGCTTGCAGAGAAGCAATCCGATGAGGGAGCTGGCTCCAAGCCCGGCGGCCTGTGCTGGGACTCTGCACTCAGACACACACTGAGGTCCCAGCCGAGGACCCACCCAGGAAGCCCTCCCAGGTTCCAGGGTCACTGCGCTTCACGCTACACTCAAGACACACACTGAGTCCCAGCTGAGGACCCATCCGGGAAGCTCTCCCACATCCCAGGGCCACTGCGCTTCACCCTACACTCAGACACACAGAGTCCCAGCTGAGGACCCACCCAGGAAGCCCTCCCAGGTTCCAGGGTCACTGCGCTTCACGCTACACTCAAGACACACACTGAGGTCCCAGCCAAGGACCCACCCAGGAAGCCCTCCCACATCCCAGGGCCACTGCGCTTCACCCTACACTCAGACACACACTGAGGTCCCAGCCAAGGACCCACCCAGGAAGCCCTCCCAGGTTCCAGGGTCACTGCGCTTCACGCCACACTCAGACACACACTGAGGTCCCAGCCAAGGACCCACCCAGGAAGCCCTCCCAGGTTCCAGGGTCGGGCCACAGTGCCTCTTGCTTGTAGTCTTTGCAGCTGCTCCATGTCATGGACCAGGGCTCAGGGTGACCCCACGGGAGCTCGTGCAGGTTTGGGCTGGGCAGACTGACCCCCACTACTCCCTCTCTTACAAGCAAGCCTGGAGCAGCTGTTGCTGGGCAGCTGGGCACCGTGCGACCGTAGCAGCCGTGAACACAAGGGTCTGGGACGTGGGTCCCAGCACTGGAGCCCCTGGTCTTGCGTGGGGAGGTGGGACAAGCTCCTCCCACTGGACAGGGCCGGGGCCAGCGCCACTTGGCACACAGTCCCGGCAAGGCGGGATGAGCCCCTGGCCACTTCCGACAATGGACACTCGGGAGATCAGCACGTTCTTTCAGCTCAGACCCTTCTTGGTGCCGAGTGCCAGGGAGCAGCCCATCCAGGCAACTGTGGGGAAGCGAGGGTCCCTGCGGGCTAACCTTGACTTGGCCCTTCCCCACTCGTGTTCTCTTGGCCCTCAATTACGTGTGCCTGTCCTTTCTCACCGTGTTGGTTTTTACGGCTGCCTCAGTTGCTCATGACAAAGGAAAACCCAAAATCCCTGCGCAGAGCCTGGGCGCGCTCCGAGCACAAGCAGGCTCATCGTTATTCCCCGTCGAGGCCGAAGCCTGACCTACGCCTTCAGCCACAGTCAGAGCCGTGCGCGTCTCGAGGCCCCACGGCGTCCCGGGGCTCGGTTTCCGGGGCTGTGCCGAGGGTCTCACCTGCACCTCCGAGTCGGCGTCCACGTGCTGCAGCTGGAACCAGGTGTCCCTGTTGTGGTACTTCTGCAAGTCCTCCTTCTGGATGGCCACCTTCCCTGCAACACAAGCAGAGGAGACTTCACCACAGGCACAGGCCCCAGAGCCAGGGCACCTGCGAGCAGAAGCCAGCCCATCATCACTGCAGCTCATTTCCAACAGCTTAATTCAGAATGGGGCACCGGCTGGGCGTGGGGCTCGTGCCTGGAATCCCCACGCTTGGGAGGTCCAGGGGGAGGGTCGCATGAGACCAGCCTGGGCGATATGGTGAAAACTTCTCTACAAAACAAAAAGAATGAGCCGGGCATGGTGGTACTGTATCCCTAAAAATTGATACTAAAAAGTCAAAATAATTAGGTGCAGGGGTAAGTCTACGCCATCTCCCTTCCAGTAAGGCGTTTGGGAGGCTTCGCTGGGAAGACGCGAACGTCCACTCCATCGGCAATGCGCACCTCACTCTCACTGTGGTCTGTGGCCAGTTCTCACGGCGGGAGGCACATCGGAGCTTGCTGGGTGCACAAGAGCCCTGTTCTCACAAATGAACACCTCATGCCTCACACACCACCAAGGCAGCGGCATCACGCCTCTAGAGAGACACGTGTGCACCTGTGCGAGCCACAGCTTGAAACACACGTGTGCCTAGAGTTAGCTTGCGTGTGTGAACACGCACACACGTGTGCATGCATGTGGGTGCTCGGGTTATTCGCAGGAAGAACTGACAGCTAGAATGAGTTGCCACCTTCCCACACGACATGGGTTGGTCTGAATCCGTGCCTCTAAAGTGTAATCCTTGAGCCGCCTTCTGGGACCCCTGGAGAGCCCGAAAGTGTAGATTCTTGGCCTTCTCCAGACGGAGGAGAACAGAAGCTCTGGTGTGGGCCGGAATCTGCACCACCACAGGTCCCTGGGCACTTCTGTGGGCCCCAAAGTCTGGGGACATCCACTCTAAACCATTTCCTGTGCCTTAAACAGGCTTAGTACTTTGGAGCTAGACTTCCAATGAAAATACATACCAGAATATATTTGTACAATATACATTTACCTAGTATGGATTTATATGTGTAAATTCGCATCTGTAACCATCATTATCTGCTCATACGTTCACCTCATTCCAGAAACATTCACATGGTGGGGTAAACGCTCATCCCATCCCTGGCAGGACAGGGCTTGTCAGGCACTGGGCACTGAGCCGTCTTCCATCCTGCGTCCCCTCGCAGAACCACCACGTCAACCCTGCCACTGGCCTCCGCGCACTGTGGACCACTCCACCCACCACGGCGAGCACCCATGCAGCACGTGCACCTCTGGCGACAGACGCACGTGAATTCCCAGGGAGTCGCACACACGTGACGTCTGAGCCCATCGCAGAGCACACACGAGAGCAGAAGTGAGGAAGGAAATGTTGGCAGACCCCTCGCGTCTTCGTTCTGCACCCAGAAACACACACATCCTCCTTAAGGATCCTGGTCCAGTCACCGAAGCGAGAAACTCTGGGTCCCGGCAGACCCCGGTTCCACCGCAGCATCCCCAGCTGCAGGGTCTGAGCACACTGTGCACAACCCAGGCTCCAGGGAGCCTCCCACCCAGCCACCCTGCCTCGCACCAGGACAGCAGAGCCCAGTCCGGTTCTCTCCTCCAAGTAAGATCCTTTTATATTTCCGCGTCTCAAAAAGCCTCTGCAGGCTCCCGTTGGAACAACCCCGGCCTGGCATCTGACAGTCTCACGCTTTGGCCTGACTCGCTGTCCAGCCTCAGTAAATTCGGGAACACTCCACCGCTAGCCTCTCACAGGTGCCATCTCAGTCAGTCCTGCAGTGACCCTGGAGGGGCAGGTCCCACTCTGCACACCCCAGAGACAAGCAGGCTGGGGCTGCAGGGAGATGGAGCTTGCGTCCCCGCCTTCCTGCCAGCATTCCTTCCTCCATTAGCGTCCCCACCCTGCGAGGTGTCAGGACGCATCTTCCCTCAGGAGCTCCTCTACCCCACGGGCTCAAGCGAGCGAGACCTCTCAGCCTGACGGGTCCGTTCCGTGACTGATCTCAGAGCCCGTGGGCCTTGGCCGCCAGGCCCCTCCCTTGTCTGCGAACTCGGAGGGTCTGAGACATGCCCAGCTCAGCACCAGCTCCAGACCCTGTGGGACAGTGCAGGGTCGGCCACATGATGGGGGCACCACGTGGCCACAGGACATGGTGGGAGGTGCAGAAGGTGGAAAGAGGCACAAAGACGCTTTCCAAATGCCCAAAGGACAGACGTGGAATCAGCACAGTTTGCCTCCAGTGCCGCTGACCCCTGCCATGCACCTCAGCACCTTCATCTCGTGTCCTCAGGGGAGCCGGCTGCAGCTCATACTGTCCACTCTGCAAAGCAAAGCAGCCCTGGGAACAGCCTTGGAGGAAGCCCCTTCCCAGCTCTGGGACCCCCGCTCACAGCCAGGGCCGGAGCCCCTTCCCAGCAAACCACAGCTCCGGGATCCTCATTCACAGCCAGGGCTGGAGCCCCTTCCCAGCAAACTACAGCTCTGGGACCCCCGCTCACAGCCAGGGCCGGAGCCCCTTCCCAGCAAACTACAGCTCCGGGACCCCCGCTCACAGCCAGGGCCGGAGCCCCCTTCCCAGCAAACTACAGCTCCGGGACCCCTGCTCACGGCCAGGGCCGGAGCCCCCTTCCCAGCAAACTACAGCTCCGGGACCCCCGCTCACAGCCAGGGTAGGCCAGTTCCATAGCCTCCCGCACATAGATACAGCACACAGACACTCGTGGGTTCGTATGATCAGCCTCGTGACCTCGTCGGCTCAGCTCTTGACACACAGACTCACACAGACCATCTGGAGCTGCACGGGACGCTGACACCACTGAGGGCAGGCGAGAGCCAAGGCAAGAACGAGGGGGACCGGGGCAGACAACAGGCCCCAGCACACGTGGGAGAAGGAGCACCAGGGAGACTCAGAGAGAAACCCAGTGACACACACACTCCGTGGACTCCCTCCAACGGCCTCTAATGGTGCAGACCACGAGGTTGGACGACAGCCAGGACACCTCCTCCTGGCCCGCTGCGTCCCCCGCCCTCCCACCTTTGACTTCAAGGGTCCCGAGTGGGGCTCTGTCCTCTCCTCTGATGACGGCTGTGTGGCTCTTGCCAAACCTCCCCTTTCCCCCACAATGCAAACCTCAGTTTTGAGTCTCACAGGAATAAAGCCACATGAAAGCAAAAATTTCTTAAAACTGAGTTGGGCAATATATTTCAGTGAAAAGGGAAAAATCTTCAGACTCCAAGACTCCTTCAGCTGGACAGCAGGGTCAGTTTTGAAGTCAGAAGTTTTAAATACTTGCAATGTCACTGTGTCTTCACATTTTTATGAGCTGAAACTGGGACGGGAGAAGTCACATATTTACGTGGATAAGGATCTTGTAACTGGCACATGATTACAAGTCTTTATTTTTAGAAGTACTTCACTTAATTTTTTAATAGGTAACAGAAACAGAACAAAATCCACAACATTCAAAAGGATTTAAAATCCCTTCAAGAAGGGATCCCTGCCCCCGCCCCCTCATTCCCGATGTGGGGTCACTTCTGTCACCAGCCCCCAACCTCTCCTTCGAGAAGCCAGCCACGTTCAACAATGGGGACATGGGGACGTCTGAAGCATGCGAGTTCCTATCTCCAGACGCTGACCTGAGAGAACGCCTGATCCGAAGGCCACGGCGTCTACTGAAATTTCTCTGATGTGCCCAATCCATAGGGCTGTCCCCACCTATGTGAGTCACACCAAAAAGTTGACCGAACACTCTGGGCCTCCCTTTCTCGCTTGGGCAAAGGCGGCGGCCTTCTCACCACGGGAGGCGGGAAAGGTCGCTTTCTTCTGCTGCATCTGTGCTGGCCAGGCCCCTTCAGAAAGGAGGAGCCCCGGGTCTGGAGGGCATCAGAAAAAGGGGAAACAGCCACAGGACACCACTCAGTGAGAGCCGCCGAGACGGGGAGCGTGGCCCAGACGGGGAGCGCGGTGGAGACGGAGACAGGGAGCGCGGCCGAGACGGGGAGCGTGGCCCAGACGGGGAGCAGCGCGGCCGAGACGGGGAGCGCGGCTGAGACGGGGAGCGTGGCCCAGACGGGGAGCGCGGTGGAGACGGAGACGGGGAGCGCGGCCCAGACGGGGAGCAGCGCGGCCGAGACGGGGAGCGCGGCTGAGACGCGCCTCGCTCTGACCCCACCTGTGTCCCAGCCGGGGCCACGAGGAAAAACAAAGGCCATACAGATCCCAAAGGAAGAAAGAAAAACCTTTATTCATAGAATGTACAAAAAAAATCTACAAGCAAAGCTACTAGAACTACTGGTGTGTTTAGCAAGAACAGAGAATACAGAGTCAGTAGGGAGGCGTCAATGACCATGAAAATTAAACAAAAAAAGCACCATCCACAAAATTATGTTTTTAGGTTTGTGCTTTTGGTGGACTACCTGAGAAATCTTTGACCACTCCATTAAACACATAAAACACAGAGAAATAAATGTTTTAAATGTGCAAAATGTGTAGGTTGAAAACACGTCACAAAACATGGACGAGAGAAATTGCACAGACTCAGGCATGTGGAAAAATATACCATGTCCATGGCTTTGAAGACTCAATTTTGTTAAGATATTAATTCTCCCCGAATTATAGATCAATGTAATCCCAGTCAAAATTCCTATGGGACTATTTTGGAAATTGAGAAGCTCATTCAAAAATACATACGGCAATTCAGAGGATCCAGAATAGCAAAACAAGGTTAAGAACAAATTTGAGGACCTTACACTACGACGTAAGACCTGCTATGAAGCCACAGTGATCAAGACACTGGCACTGGCATGAGGACGGGGGAGCATACCTATGGCGCAGGGCTTGGGGCTTAGCCTCAGAGAGTCTCCAGCTTCACTCAGGAAAGAATTCGAGAACGAGGTGGTGGTGGAAGAAAACAGTTTTATGGAGGCGGCAGTGTGATAGCTCTGAAACCGCTCCCGCAGAGCAGTTTCACAGGCGGGGTGCTGAGGGTGGCAGCTCCGGGCAGTCCTGCTGTCTCGTTTATG